ATAAGCATACAGTTATTCTGGCTGCATTTGGGAAATATGCTATTGCGTCATCTATCTTTGTCGTTCATTGGATGTAAAACAGGAATAAAATGACGTAATAGCGCTGATAGTCTCCTCTCTGAACGCAACCGGTATTTTTTTCAAAAAAATTGTACGCCTATTGGACATTTCCATCGCGCGTCGTCAGTCTTTATTTGTTAACATAACCTGCGCTCAGCGTGAAGTGCGTTGCGTGGTTTCAGTTATATATTATATAAAAAACTCAAGCAATAGATAAAACATCTCAATCTTCAGCGAAGGATTGTAAAATACCATGGCCAGCATTTGCGGAAATATTCGAGTTACAGTGAGAACTTGGAAACGAGAACAACTGGGCATTTCTCTCGCCTGGTTGTTATTAATAGTCTTAAAGAATAAATATGAATCATTTGTTTAAATTGATGAATCTAATTTGTAAAAATTATATACGATATGAGGAATATAATAATCAACAAACTCTACTTTTATATAAAATTGAAGCAATTTACACAATTTAAAATAATATAGCACAATTATTGTAAAAAAGTAACTGAAAAGTAACGACTCGTTACTTTCTAAATAACTATAACTGTAACATGTTATTTTTGAAAATCAGTAACTTGTAACTGTAACTGACCATAACGCAAATGGATCGAACAGTTCGCCGACTCCGACTTTGACTTTTTTCTGCTTCGCCCGGCTCGATCGCGCCATTTTGAAATTTCCGACTAAACTCTAGTCCCGTGTTTGTGTGTTGAGAGAATATAATGTATGCCATATTTATATCGCTTTTTATTATCTTTTTATTTATTTTTACACGTAGTTTTTTTCATATTTATTTATTCTTAAATATTCTATATTGACCAGCACTATGTGGTGGTCAATATAAGATAATAATTTAGCGTTCTCCAAGGAAGAAAGAAAGTTTGCGAGTGCAGTGTGTTAGTTCAACTAAAGAGAACAGGCCCAAAGCGGAAGACACTGAGATGGAATATAATCGGTTTGTATTACGGTAAATTTTATTGAATTTGAATAGCTTTTTTTCTTTTCCTTAATCATTCGTGTTAATCAGCAGCGTCGTATCCGCATCGAAATCCGCTATTTTATTTGTGCCATTATCTACAATGTCGCAATACACATTCACCTTAATGCAATCTTTTCGTTAGCCTGTGGCGCGCGCTATCGTTCGGAGTTCATTTCGTCCTCGACATTTCGGGGAGCACGTAACATCTATTGCGATGATTTTATCAGTAAAATAAAACGCACACCGATATGTGGACAGACATTAGAAAGTTACGTGAAACGTTGGCTATACGGGCAGGGATGAGGGGGGAGGAGGGAGGGGCCGCATTCGATTTCGGCGAAATAAACTACGCAAGAGTCACACACACTCGGAGTATAATCGATTTATACTGTACATCGTCGGATTAAACGTAAAACGCAATCGTTCCCTCATCGGTTGTTCTTGCGCTGCAACTCTCACACGTCGGAGGATCTTACGACTTCGGGATCTCTCGCGACTCGGCCCAAATTATTATTATTACAGCAAGCACATTCTATTAGTTCTAATCGTGTACGTTTATATAATGTTAAATGAGAGCGTAGTCGTAAGCATATTATACTGTTTTCTTTTTCATACGCGAGTCGCTTGCCGTTAGTAAACGACGGAAAACGTATCGGGAGAGTAATGTTACATTAACAAGTTTATTTATACAATTAACTATCTATATACACTATATGTGTTTTCAATACGAATGTCGCATCTTCGTTTCAACGTAACTTCAAGGAGAGGCTGCTTCTAGTCTTACTTTTGTTGCATTCTAAAATCTGATATATATATATATATATATATATATATATTCCAAATTATATATATTTATAGTGTCTTATTTTAAATGAGCGTAGGCAAAAATCTCGAAAAATATGAAAGATGACTAATACCCGTATTCATAGTCAGATCTTATATTTGAGACCTTCTTATATCCATCTTTAGATACTGCACGGTTTATTTTATTAGCTACAGACCATCTGAAGATAAACTTAAGGAAGCCTTAAATATAAGGCCTGACTATGAATACGGGTGTAAGAAACGTTTCAGACAAAAGTTATATGGTTTCAAGAAGGACATGAAACAACTATATCAGTTTGTTTACAGATGACGCCGCTCTCGAGATATTCACTAATCATTACTTTTCTTCAATTCTTTATTATATCCTTTTTTTCTACTAATTAACTTGAACAATTTTTGTCTGAGACATTTTTTTATTTGCCTAATATTTTTTGAGATATTTAAGGAAAGCTTGACAACTTTTTAAATGTTTAACTTACGATATCTCGCTAACCATTTGTTGGAAGAAAAAGTGGTACTAGACCTTTTTACTCTATTTGATCTCAAGTCCAGACTTTTGTTAATTTGATAATTTTGAAATTTCTAAAGGTCGAAAAGTTAACAAAAGAAAGGATATTATTGTAACAATATATTCTTGAGACTAAATAAAAAAATCTAGTACTATTGTTTCTTTCGACAAATAGCGAGGTATTGTAAGTTAAATATTGAGAAAATTACCAAGTTTTCCTTAAATATCTCGAAAAATATTAGGCAAATAAAAAGATGTTTCAAACAAAAGTTATTAAAATTAATTGGTAGAAAAAGATATAATAGAAAATTGGGATTTCTATTTAAGAAAAGTAATGATCAATGGCGCTATCTGTAAACAAAATGATATAGTTGTTTCATGTCTCCCTTGAAACCATACAATTTTTGTCTGACACGTTTCTTAATATCTCTCATATTTTTCGAGATTTTTGCCTGGCTCATTAAAAATGGGACACCCTGTATATTATCGTTCTTTATAATCCTCTCTTATAATATTCTTAAAAATCGTGACTTCGTTACAGCGAAATCTTTAAATCTTGCATTATAGTCGTCTTTTATACTTCTTATTAATCGTTCGACCTTGAAGACGCTTATGTGAGCTTCGTTGTCGAACGAATAAATTCGATAAGTAATATTTATATATAACAGACTTTTTCAGATAAAATTTCGATAAAACAGAAATGGATTACATCGCGTCGCATTAATAACCGTAATTTACTGAGACTCGTTAGATAGTATTTCGCTGTTACAGCCGTAGGCAGCAAGGTTGCCCGTTATTTCTCGCGTGAGTTCGTTACGCACCCGCCCTGTCCAATAGGAGAATCTGTTTTTTAACGGAAGAATCCTCCCAGCGAGCGGGCGAGACGGATGCGTACGGAAGTCCACGTAACGAATAACGGACGATATCTTTCTGTCCACGATTGTATACCTACGTACAGAACCTGTGAACATGTTCTGCCATTTGGTGCATCATCTTCAAGTGTCTCGAATGTACACTTTGGATTGAAATTAAGAATTCATCGGCGAATCCTTAATTTCCCGGGTAAATATGCATGAAAGGTAACACCGATTTTCATTCTAAGATATACTACAAAGAATCAAATTCGCAATAACTTTTTATGGTATGTCTACACGGCGGTCGCTTGTAGTTCTTGAGATATTTGACTTCAAGGTATTGGAAGATAAAAAGAATGAAGTTCATTTTCGATAAACACTCTTTAACATTTTTCTTATTAATTTATATCCCATTAAATTCTTGCTAAAATTTATCGCCTCGCTAAGTTCATGAATTTAAACGGGGTTGAACCTTGCGCAGACATCTCTGCCCATTCTACAATATTTTTATTCGTAGTATATAGTAGACTCGTGAATTTAGGAAGACGAAAGATTTTAGTGAGAATTTAATAAGATGTAAATTAATAAGAAAAATGTTTATCGGAGATAAGTCTTCTAAACTTAATTTTTACCTTCCAATACTTAAAGTCGAAGATACTTTACCCTTTATAGTACACTTTAAGATGAAAAAATATCAGTGAGGCGTTACCTTTGACGTATATTTATCATTTCCCGTTTCTTCGGTCAGTAATCCCGTTACTCGCGTTGCTTCGACTCGAGAGTAGATAATACGACCTTAACATTGCGTGACGTCATCTTTGGATGGCAAAGAGCATTCTCTAAAACCAGATAAAGTGTTGCAATTCTACCCGCTCGTACTTCCTCCTTCTCACGTATCGTGTAAATACGACGATGATAGCGATTTGCTCGATATAACGGCGGATCTTAATTTAGACGGTAGTTCCGTACGTGCTGAACATCACTCTGGTGGTATCTGTGTCGAGGGTGACGTCCTCCGGAGATGCCAGGTCAACCTTGATCGATCCAGAGTTATTTCGTCTTCGTGTCACGCCACCGCCCCAGTTCGAGAGAGTCCAATGGTAAGTCTCGCCTTCTTTCTCAGCGCTCGGCTGCGCCTCCTGCGCGTTCTCGTTCTCCTTTTCCAGACCGGTCTCGATGGAGACTGACGATTGCGACGCGACAGAGTCGAAACTGGAATCACCGCCGCCGCCTCTGTACCGACCAACGCACTCCGTCGCCATCTCGCCCGGAGACTCCTCGATAGCCCGCAAGATATTCTGGCACAGCTCCGAGTCGAGAGGTATCGGATCTTCCGAGTCGCGGTTGTGGATGGTGACCGCTATGTGAGCCGGGTGCGGAATGGGCAGAGGGATGACGAGTTTCTCCGCGCTGTACGGACGAATTTGTCGCTTCCATGGCTGCCAGCGACCTTCCGCGCTGTTGTTGCTGGTCATAGTGCGTCTTCGGATCTTCGTGGACGTTAACAGGCCGCTGGTGTCGCTGCGAAAAGTCATGTTTCACGAAGAAGCTTGATAAGAATGACTCTAGAAATATCAATTGGCTCGAAGAAGCCACACTTACCGTTTGTCGGAACGCTTGCTGTTGCTGGCTTGTTTAGCTTTCGGGTTGAAGGCCGACACCTCCAGGTACGGACTGTGAACCTGAATGTTGCCACGCGGCGCGTAAACGGCGCCGAGCAAGTCGGGCCCGTTGATGCCACCGAGCTCGGTACTGTGCACCATGTCCGTGTATCGCGACAGGTCGACTCCTGGATGTGGCTCCAGCTTGAACTTAGTGTCCGCGTCGTCGAGCGGTTGCAGAAAGTCCAGACTGAAGATGTCGGCGTACATGAGCCCGGCCAGGCCCGCCCAATCGCACACTCCCAAGCCCTTGTTCTCCCAGAAATCTTCCTCGTTCCCGGGCAACCTCGCAAACACGTGAGTCGGATAAAGACGTTCCAGCATCAGCGCGCCTTGCTGTATGACCACCTGTGACACGAGAAATTGGCTCATTGATGTAAAAGCAAAATTTATTCAGGACAACGTATGAATTCAGCGCTATAACTAGGATTGCCAGATGTGTCCTCGTCTGGGAAGGATTGTCCTTTCTAGTCAAAATTTTCATATCCTGCCAAGGACGCTACTTGTCCTTGTCTGCCGCATCGAAGTTGTGTTTTCTTTTTGCTTGTCAAATGTGCCGTCATGGTACATCTAAAGTATATATATGAAGTGTATAATATACAAGGTGTCTTATTTTAAATGAGTCAGGCAAAAATCTCGAAAAATATGAAAGATATTAAGAAACGTTTCAGACAAAAGTTGCATGGTTTCAAAGGAGATATAAAACTATATCATTTTGTTTACAGGTGGCGCCACTGATCATTACTTTTCTTAAATGGAAATCTCAATTTTTTATTATATCATCTTCTTCTACCGATTAATTTGAACAACTTTTATCTGAGACATTTTTTTATTTGCCTAATATTTTTTGAGATATTTAACTTGGTAACCTTCTCAATGTTTAGCTTACTTTAGATATTTCGCTAACTATTTGTCGGGAAAAAGTAATACTAGACTTTTTTACTCTATTTGGTCTCAAGAATATATTGTTACAATAGCGCTCTGACTTTTGTTAATTTAATGACTTTGAAATTTCTAAAGATCGAAAAGTTAACAAAAGTTAGGACACTATTGTAACAATATATTCTTGAGATTAAATAGAATAAAATATATTCTTGAGATTAAATAGAGTAAAAAAGTCCGGTAGTATTTTTTTTTCGACAAGTAGCAAGATATGGTAAGTGAAATGTTGAGGAAGGTACCCAGTTTTCCTTAAATATCTCAAAAAATATTAGGCAAATAAAAAAATGTTTCAGACAAAGGTTGTTCAAATTAATTGATATAATAAAAAATTAAGATTCCCATTTATATTTCCAAAATAATGATCAGTGAATATCTCGAAAGTTGCGCCATCTGCAAACAAAGTGATATAGTTGTTTTATTTATGTCTCCCTTGAAACTGTACAACTTTTGTTTGAAACGTTTCTTAGTATCTTCCATATTTTTCGAGACTTCTGCCTGGCTCGTTTAAAATGGGACATTCTGTATGTAGTTAAAAATTGACGTTCGGAAAGATGATAAACGCATCTCACTCGACAATCTTCTTCTGTTGCTCATCAAAATTTCCGGCCGTTCTTTTCTACCAACTTACGAATCTGGCAACGCTAATTATAACTTATGCGCTGAGTGAGCCATGTGGATAGCACCGAATGCACCCGAGAATAAGGGTTACAGCGGCTGAGAATAATCACCTTTAAGTCGAAGGTGGTTAACTTTATTTTACTTCTCACAGCGACGCCGAGGCCAGTCTGCAGATTTTTTCTTCGTCGATCCAACTTCTCGTGCAGTACGGCGATTAAATCTTTGGCTTCCTTCTCCAACGATCTGTACGGGTCCTTTGTCTTGGCGAGACTAGCAGCGAACGGCCCGAAACAGGCCTCTACGAACTGAGTAAAATCTCTCTGCGGTTGAGTAATCAATCTCTCCGTTTCTTGTTGGAAGGCTAGCAATTCGTCCAGTTCTAGTTTCGCTTCGAAGGCGGCCAATGCCTGCTCCGCTCTTATCTATGTGGACGTAAAATCGTTTGCTTTTTATCAGATTTCATCCGAGATTTATTTTTTTCATCTGTCGAGTATTAACCCTTTGTGTGGCGTTGATAAGTATACATACCACCTCCTTTTCTTTCACTTTTACGATGTTTTGTTTACATTTTAGCCAGCAAAAGAAGTATGATCTCGCATTTCTTTAACATATTAATATTTACTTTACATATTTTCCGTTTTTTATATCCGATTGTTCATTTTTAATGATTATTCATGAATAAAGTCAGAGTGATTTAAAAAAAGTTTAATTTCCTGAAAAATATTTAAAATTAGAGGCTGAAAATTTCACTAAATATTCCTCACATGGCAAAATATAATATATATTTTTTCGAGAATTTTTTACACGCTAGATTTTTTATAAACAAATTATTAGGGTGAATTTTGTAAATTTAACACGAAATTCGTAATTAACGATCAAAAAAACATTTATATCGTGTATCTGATTTACATTTATTCGGATTTGCACTAATTTACTTCTATATGGTAGCCATTCTATACAGATCTATTTTTCCAATCTGGCTTTAGGTTTGTAATTAACAACAAAAGAAATAAAAATGCAAGATTTCTAAAAAAAAATTTAATTTCTTGAAAAGGGTTTAAAATTAGAGGCTGAACATTTTACTAAATATTCTCTTCAAGTGTGTCAAAATATAGTATATATTTTTTTCAAAATTTTTCGCACGCCCTTAGACTTTTTTCCATAAACAAGTTACTTTCTTGAATGAGTTTTAAAATAAATCTGACATGGAACTCGTAATTAACGTTCTAAAAAATTTTTATATCATGTATCTAATTTACATTTATCCAGATTTATATTAATTTATCTCTATATGGCAGCCATATTGGATCTGCCATTTTGAATGTTTGATGTCTGACTTTAGAATTGTAATCAGATTTGTAGTAAAAAAATATAGAAATGCAAGATTTCACCGAAACCTGTCAGATAGGAAAAAGTGTGTCACACAAAGGATAATAAGGATAAAATTATTCTAAGCAAAGGCACTGACTTGATAATAATAATCTGAAGCTAGCCCCGGCCCGGCTATTCTCTTCACGACGAAGCTATCGCTCGCTGGTATCCGACCCCTGTTCTTGATCACGAGATGGAACATGACCGTATCCCAGAATACTCTGATCCAGTAACGTATCACAGCAACTGCGGAGTTGATTCACTTGGAATGCACATCTTCTAGAGACGAGTAAATCTCCGTCGGCGGAACGAGAAAGCTACGTTTCACTTACTTGTAAGTATCACGAATGATATAACGGGACACAGGATGAGGGCTACGAACAGCGCCGCTACAGGCTGCAAGCATCCTTGAATGCCGATATTCCACATTAACGCTTCCATTACTACGAGATATCGATTGCGACTCGGTTCAGGACTGTCCAGGTCCATGATGAGAGCCATGAACGCGTGCAGCGTCAAAGTGACCAGAGGCATCCTGAAAGACATGACGAGTTGAATTCTGCGTGAAAGCGAGAGATCAGCGATGATCGGGAAATGATCCTAACCACAAGACCGCGGTCAAAGCGACAATCAGCGACGCGACGCTCGCCAGAACGCACACCACGGGAAATACAAACAGTATGATGAGCGTGCCCAGAAGACCTTTCGCACCATAATTCCACAGCCTGTTCAAGTGCCTCGTCATACCTTTGCCGATGAATCCTAGAAGGATCATGTTTTCACAAGTGAACAAGCCTATTCTGAGCATGATTATGGTCGAAAGAAGGAGCTTATTTAATCTTTATTTCCGGGTAGAAGAGCCTCTGAGATTCTTTTATTAAAAATCAAATGTAATGAATATAATAATAAATAGTCTATTTACTATATACTGGATGAGGCACCTAAAATAAGCCATCTAAATAACTTTGAAAATATGCAAAATAGAAAAAAAATACAGAAATTGTAAGGTTTTACTGACGCATCACATAGCAATACACATAGCAATAAAAATAGTATGACCTTGAACAGCGTCATGAAGGTTATAGGAAGATCACCTTGAATTTTTTAAACGGAAACTTCATTTTTTATTATAATATCTTTCTCTACCAATTAATTTAAACGACTTTTGTTTGAAACATTTTTTATTTGACTAATATCTTTTGAGATATTCAACTTGGCAACTTTTTCAATATTTAGCTTATAATATCTCGGTAACTATCTGTTGGAAGAAAAAGTGGGGAGAGGGAGTATTAAAGTTTTTTTACTCTATTTGGTCTCAAGAATACGCTGTTACAATAGTGCCCTAACCTTTATTAATTTGATTTGACCTTTGGAAATTTTAAAATTATCGAATAAAAGTTAAGGTACTGTTGTAACAGCATATTCTTGAGAGTACTACTTTTTCTTCCAACAAATAGTTAGCGAGATATCGTAAATTAAATATTGCAAAAGTTGTCAAGTTTTCCTTAAATATATCAAAACATATTAGGCAAATAAAAAAATGTTTCAAACAAAAGTTGTTCGATTTAATCGATGGAAATAGATAATCCAAGATGACCTTCCCATAACTTTGACTGTTTTCGTACGCTGTTCAAGGTCATACTAGTATTGCTATATAATGCGTCACTTAAAACACTACAGCTCCTATGTTTAACATTTTTTTCTATCTTTCATATTTCCAAAATTATTCAGGTGGCTTGTTTTAAGTGCTTTACCCTGTACATATTAATGTTACTATTTTGCTAGATAAATAAACTGGATTAAAAGAAGTAAAATATTGTAGAATTATTAATTTCAGTTATTCTGTGTTGAGAGCCTCTGAGACTTCTCTATTCGTTTTTTATTATAAAACCGTCTTATTCCGATGAAGGTTAAGCTATTTAAGCTTACCGGTGTCTGGTTCCGTTTCAAAGTGCGTTCGACTTTTGCTGATGTGTCTCCAAAGCGCTATCAGTCGGGAACAGAGAGTGGGCATCTGCGACGACTTCCTCGGGAATAGCGTGCCGTTCAGTTGACTCAATTCCAGATCGGGAGTGAATGGCTGCACCAGCAGAAGAGCACGTATAGACACTGGGCTACACCACGGTACAGCCACGCCCAATAGGAACATTGCGTTCCAGGTCCAACACCATGTCCTGGCGATGTAATTGATCCAACGCCACATCGGCCATCTTTACGACGATAAAAATAAGAAATATTAGCGAGTATATGTGTTCTAAATTTAATATGAAGGTAATCCTTACATAACCTTGACAAGTTATTTAATGTTATACTAATCTCAGTACGTAATGTACGTCGCTTGAAATCCTACAACTTTTGTATGCAATATTTTTCTCGAAATATTGGAAGGTTTTGACGTTTTCTGTATACCCGTATAAAACCTTTTATTTATTAAACCATGACGAATACAAGAAATGTTTATATACATTATGTATATAAACATTTCTTGTATTCTACTCAAGCTTTTCTCTTTCACTAGTTGATCTGATTTCACTAGGTTGATCTTATCTTCTGACACACCTTGCGTATGCTTATACGAATGTTTGAGTAATCGATTGATACCTTGTCGTGGTTGTGTGTAAAATCTCTCTTTCGACCAAGAAGACTGGTTGGCTGGGGTCGGCACGAGGTGTCGTAATGGAAGTTGGTGTATTACTCAGTACGGTTGGAATGATTTCGGACTGACCCTGGAAATTGCGTCGTATTATCCAGTTTTTCGGCAACCAAATTTGCGTCGGCCACTGGAAGGTCCTTGTCGGAGTTTTCACCTTGCGCAGTTCTTTCAGCAGAACTGGCTCTCGCTGCGAAAGAAACGAATTCAAACCTTTGACGTGTCCCAGGCCCAAAAAAAGAAAGAGAAACAAATAATCAAAAAGTACAGCAAGGTATTACACACCTCTTTCATAAAAATAAGATCACGGTTGAGGAAATACACAGTCTGTTGGAGATTCTGATTGCTGCAGAGTGCAAGGGCTTCTTCGTGCGCGCTCCACTCGCATTCTTCTATGAAGTTTTCCTCAGCCTCTCGCATGCGATCTCGCATCCACGGCTGTATCCGTGACAAGACCGGATGCTCGCTCTCCATGCGGCGTCGCAGTGATTCTTTGGTTTGCGATAATTTCCGTTGCACATTCTCCACCGCTCGATGCATCAACACGACCGACTGAGCCTGCTGAACCAGCAGCTGGGCGATCCCCTCGCCCAATGCGAGTATGTCCGGGTGTGACAGGATATTCGAGTAGACTCTTTGCAGGTACTCGCGCATCACCGCTTCGTTGACCTCCTGAATAATGATGAATACAACGATGAATAGTTGAGAGTGAGAGAAGTCTAAGTGCCAAAATTCCTTACTCGTTCGATCTGCTCGTCCGGTTTCTTTTGTGCTCTCAGTTCAGATATCAGTCTTTCTCTAAAGTGAAGAAACCAGCCTCTTGTCTCTCTCTCCAGAATCGCGACGAGCGTCGGCAGAGCCTTCCTGATGATGTCCCTGCTGAATAATCTGAGATCAACCGCGGCCCCACCCGGTGTCCCGAATACGAAGGGGACCGAGACAGGCAGCAGCTGGGACGATTCTCTCTCCACCTCAAACTTCTCCGTGGTCGCTCGGCGAAGTTGCTTACGTATGAATCCGCAAAGTAATTCCAGAGAATCTTCATACTCCGGCTGGAATAGCGAGGCTCATTATTTGCGCTTACGCGAGACGAAGAACGCGTCTCTGCGCCTCTGAGAAAAGAGCCGAAAATCTTGATGACGAGAATAAATGTCTTACCCTACAGACCAATTCCGCCACCAGATATCGACAACGTTCCTCCCTAATTTTAGCGTCTAGATTGTGTGCCTGGAGCGACGGCACGCCGATTATAATGTCTGCAAACGGTATACATATATATCTGTGTGCTAACGTGCATGTATACAGGGTGTTTAAAGAAAAGATTCAGGACTTTAAGATGGTGTTCACAAAATGGAGGAAGGAAAGTCCCAATAAACAAAATTAATATTCTCGGAGTTATAGAGAATTATTCATTTTAAGCAAAGCAAGTGACCTACATGCTTCTGGTACTCACAAAGTTTACAGAAGATTTTTTATACATGTCCTCCTCCCATCTTCCATAGAATTGCGAACTTTCTTAAGAATTCCCGACTTTGTTCTAACTGTCTAACCCTTTGAAGCACGAATTTTTCTACGCAATAATAAAAGAAACTGATTATATATATATATAAGAGTTTTCTGGGTCGCTGATTACAAGTCTAGAGTCAAAATTTTAAAATAAAAAATGGCAGATTCAATATAGCGACTTCAAATGGCTAACTTTGATATGATATTATGAATATGTATCAAACTCGGTACATATATGTTTTTTTCGATCATAAATGACAAATACAAAGTCGAAATTAAAAAATTCAAAATGGCGGATCCAATATGGCGACTTCAAATGGCTAACTTTGATATGATATTATGGATTTTAATTTCGGAAATCTAATAACAATTTTGTGATCAGCGATCCAAAAAACTTCCATGTACCTATTTCTGTCGAAATCGAAGGATTGTGAACATTTTTTTCCACCATATTGGATTCGCCATTTCGAATTTCAAAATTCTGATTCGAAATCGGCGACTTCAGAAACGTAAAATGAACAAGTTTTGTTACGACTGTTTTTATAGATCCCTCCTGTTAAATGAATTTTTACTGAAAAATATATAATTTTATGCAATTTGTTTATTTACAGGTTCCTTAAATTAAAAAAAAATTGACATTTTATATTTTTAGCACGTATATCAATACCTAACATATCTTAGAAGTGAAAAAAATTCGGACGAAAATATCAAAAAGATAGCTTAAATAATTAAAAATGAAGAAAGAAAAGGTGGGATTGTGGGATCTCATCATGCTTCAAAGGGTTAACAGGCATTTATATTCTCCGACGTAATTCGTTTAACACTTATTGTCTTGTTCGGAAAGTAATTTCGGTTTTTTGCATAAAAATGAAAGACGATATTTTTAATAGAAAGAAAAGTTTTATTCTGTCAAGTATTGACCATTTTGTTCTAACATTTTGTCATCTTTGAGATAATAACATTATTTCACGCTCGTAGAGATTCTGGTCCTTATTGGTAAAAAACTGGATTAAGTGGTTTTTTTGATACCTTCATTTGAATCGAAATTTTTACTAATCACAAAGAATTTTGCACCGAAACAAGTGATAATCAGATGGTGTCAGATCAGGTAAATATGGTGGATGCGGTAGCAAATCCCATTCAAGCGCTAACAGCTTCTGGCGAGTCATTAATTTGTGTGAGATCTGGCGTTGTCATGATGAAACACAACATCTTTTCTGTTCGCCAATTCTGGTATCTTCTGCTTGATGAAATCATTCAATTTGTCAAACTGATGACAATACACATTCGAATCGATCGTTTGGTTGTTTGGTAGCAGCTCAAAAAGAATCATTCGTTTTCAATCCCACCAACCATCACCTTGTTTTGATGGATATCAGCTTTCGATGTGCTTTGGGCTGGTTCATCACGTCTACTCCATCTTTTGCGTTTAACATCGTTGTATGTGTACAAAAATGGATTGTGATCCATTTTTCATCTCCAATTATGAGTCACTTCAGAAATGGATTGTTTTCCTTACGTTTCAACGGCAAATCACAGATGGTAATGCGACGAATCAAATCTCTTTCTTTGAGAACGTGTGGAACCCAAATATCGAGCTTTGAAACGAAACCAAGTTGCTTCAAATGTTCATGCACGGTCGAATTCGATAAATTCAATCTCTCAGCAATTTCTCGTGTTGTTAAATAATGATTTGCGTTCATCAATACCTTTATTTGGTCTTCATCAGCCTTAGTTGGCCTTCCAGAACGTGATGCATCTTTGAGATTGAAATTCCCAGAACGAAATTTCGAAAACCGATTCTGATACTGGCGTTCAGTCAACACATTCTCTTCATACATGGCACACAATTTTTTTTCTTGCTTACGCTGGCATTTTTGCTTTTACGGTAATAAAAAAGCAAAGTGTGATGAAAATGCTCACGTTGGTTTTCCATTATTGATGCGACGCCAAACGAAAACAACTTGACAGGTTCCAAAAAACTTTTTTTCAAATGAAGCTTGAAATGTGCGTTGTAAAAATGCGAAATGATTTTCTGGTTTAGAATGAAGTTAACTGCTGAAAAAGGCAACTAACATTTTTTGAAAAAAACCGAAATTATTTTCCGAACAATCCAATAAATAGGTAATTCGTTGAAAGATGGATTGGATGGAGTAGACCAGTTTCATAGTCCCATCGATCTCCTGATTTAAATCCCCTGAACGTTTTCTACGGGGGTTTTCTAAGAGCATGATGTATTCTCTTCACTGACAAATGACATAAACAAATTACATCAAATACAAAATGCTTGTCAAAAGTTAGAGCAAAGCCGAAAATTTTCGAAAGAGATCACAATTCTACGGTACGAAGATGTGAAGCGTGTGTGAAGAAATAGAAGAAGGACATGTCGAAAATCTTCTGTAAACTTTGCAAGCACCAGAAGCGAGCAGATCATTTGCTTTAATTAAAATGAATAATTGTGCATAACTCCAATATATTAATTCTTCGACTCATTTATTATTATTAGGACTTTTTTCTTTCATTTTGTGAGTACTACTTGTCCCTAGAGTCCTGAACTCCTTTTTCTTAAATATCCTGTATACGTATACAATGCAGATAATCGGTAATGCAGACGTCCGCGAGCGTCACGCGCACAGAGGACACGAAAGTATGGACTCACCGAGAAGTCGTAATAGCCCCGTCAATAAGGCCTTGAGAGACTGCGAGACGCTGAAGCAGTGGGAGACTAATCTAGCCTTTGCCGTGACGACGAGGAACCTGGTCGCCAGAGCGAGATCGCCGAGCAACGCGTCCCGCCTTCTGTCGCGACCGCGTTGCAGAAGACCGCTTAATCGCCATCGGTGTGTCTGTCCGGCGAAATTGATCGAGTCCACTTCGAACTCCCTGCAAAGAGAACCATCGGGGTCACTCGCATGCGCCGAGATGATCGGGGGAGAGCGATTTGCGACAGCTAAAATCATACAAAGCGTCGTATACTCTAAGAAAACAATTCTGCCGGTGGTACGGGTGTTTTTCTTGCCAACAAATGAGGATAGTGTTATGAAAAAAAAGGGAACGAATTACACGGTGATGGGTCTATTCGCTTGCTAGTTTCACCAAGGAAACACTTATTCGACAGTGTTGCTAATCTGTGTGCGGTGTTACACTTGCTCGACTATATGAACCTCTTTGTGATGACCAAGCTGATGGTTTCTTTTTTAAACAGCAATTATCCATATACAATATACAATATGCAGGGAGGAAAAAGTCCCGGACCGGTAAAACATCTCGAAAACCAAGCATTTTAGAAAAAAGTATTTCGGACAAAAGTTATATGATTTCAAGGGGGGCATAAAACAAGTATATCATTTTGTTTACAAATGGCACCACTTTCGAGATACTCACTCATTATACAGATCATTATTTTTTTTAAATGGAAACCTCAATTTTTTTATCATATCATCTTTTTCTAGCAATTAAATTGAACAACTTTTGTCTGAAACATTTTTTTATTTGCTTAATATTTTTTGAGATATTTAAGGAAAATTTGATAACTTTTTCAATATTTAACTCACGATATCTCGCTAACTATTTGTCAGAAGAAAAAGTGGTGCTAGACTTTTTTGGTCTATTTAATCTCAAGAATATATTGTTATAATAGCGTCCTGACTTTTGTTAACTTACTGACTTCTAGAAATTTCAAAATCATCAAATTAACAAAATTAACAAAAGTCAGGGCGCTATTGTAACAATATATTCTTGAGACCAAGTAGAGCAAAAAGTCTAGTATCATTTTTTCTTTCGACAAATAGTAAGATATGGTAAGTGAAATGTTGGAAAAGGTACCAAGTTATCCTTAAATATTTAAAAAAAATATTAGGCAAATAAAAAATGTTTCAGACAAAGTTGTTTAAAATAATTGGTAGAAAAAGACAGTGTAATAAAAAATTGGGGTTTCCATTAGAAAAATTGGGGTTTCCATAAGAAAAGTAATGATCAGTGAATATCTCGAAAGTGGTGCCATTTATAAATAAAATGATATAGTTATTTTAAGTCTCCTTTAAAATCATACAAACATTTTGTCCGAAACAGTTTTTTCTAAAATGCTTGATTTTCGAGATATTTTACCTGTTCGGGATTTTTTTCTCACCTTGTAAAATATACACTAAATATACAGGATGGCTCACAGGGATAAAGTGTGACGACCCAAAAACTCTAAAAATATTTGTCGTACCAAAAAATTGTTCGTGACAAAGTTTCATGTATTCGAGAGGCCCTTCTGACTATATAAACAAAAGTCTGCTTTCGCTCTCCCCTGAAGGGGGGTGAGGAGTAAGTTCATAATTTCAAATGGGAGCTCTTATAAAATGTTATACATTTGGATTCTACGGGAAGAAAAAAGTATACTTTATCTGGAACATTCTTTTAAAAAATACTTTTATCAAAAGTTATAAACATTTAAACTTTAAAGTAGAATGTATTCAAATTAATGTGATAAAACGATAAAAGACTTTATATTCTATTTTTTTTTCTTTAGTTTATTAAATGCTCAGACTTTCAGACTTTGAGTTAACCATTCACGTTTAAACACTTATTAATTCTTTATACAAAATTTTGTCTAACTCTAAACAACATTTCTGAGATCACGCTATCGCAAGTTCCACGTATTCTTCGTTTTAAATCTTCTTCAGTCGTAGGTGGTTCAAATATAACTTTTTTCAGTGATATATCCTCATAAAAAATAGTCCAATAGTGAGATCAGGTGAACAAGAGGGCCATTAAACAGGACCTATCCATCTCCGACCTATCCATCTGTCGATATTAAAATATTTCGATTAAAAGAGTCCGTGTAGTTCTGGACAAAAGGAGGAGGTGTGTTATCTTGTTGAAATCACATTTCTCTTCTCATATTAAGTGGTAAGTTTTCCAGAAGTAGGTAGTAGATGATCACTCAATAGATCACAATAGGATTCAGTATTAACAGTATCGTCGAAAAAATAATTACAAAATTATAATTAGACAAAATTTTGTAAAAAGAATTAATAAGTGTTTAAATTTAAGTGATCAACAATTCGAACATTTAATAGAGTAAAAAATGTGAAAAACTATGAAGTCTTCTATTTATGGTTTTATCACTTTAGTTTGAATGCATTTTACTGTAAAGCGAAAGTGTTTACAACTTTGGATAGAAATATTTTTTAAAGAAATGTGCTAGATAAAGTTTATTTGTTTCTTCCCGTAGAATCCAAATGTATAACATTTTATAGGAGGTCCTATTAAAAATTATGAAGTTACTCCCCTCCTTCAGAGGAGAGCGTGGGAGAACTTGTTTATATAGTTAGAAAGACCTCTCGAAGATATAAAACTTTGTCACGAATAATTTTTTGATGCGACAAATATTTTTAGAGTTTTTAGGTTGTCATACTTTACTGGGTCATCCTATATATAGAGTGAAGCACATAATTGGAACCACTTTGATAACTTCATAAATATTAATTTCAAAAGTCGATCCAAATAAACGTTGCATGAAAAAGGTTATGCAATGCATTGTCTAACTTTTTTGCTATCCGTGGTCTTGAAGATTTCAAGATCACCTTCAATATTTTTAAAAAAGAAATGAATTTTTATTTTAAAACAGTGTGACCTTCAAGCGACCTTCTATCTGGCTATATTATATTTCGAATTCAACAATCCATATCGTTGCAGTTATATTAATTATTATTATTATTAATTATATGATTTTTACACGTGATTTATACGAATAGTAATATATAAAATAACATCTATAATATATATAAATAATACACGTTGCAATAACAATTCAACTTATATTTGTTAAAGAGACTTTTAGAATACGACTACATACATTGATTTCATTACTTTTTCTTCACTTTACAGCACTGGTATTCAAAGTATCGTCCTTGAACCTCGATACATTTCCGCGATTGCTTTGTATAAAACTTCTCTGCTTAGGACGTGCGCATCTATTGTTGCACAGCCATTGACAATTCGTTGACGTGTATTGTCAGGAGTAGTAGGTTTTGCTCTTTTATAGAATATACAAGCGGGGTGCAAGCGACCCCGTAAGAAAACAATTCAACGGAATGTCAAGTTATGTATAATAAAAAATGTTACTTTAAATATTATTATTCGTATCAATCATGTGCGAAAGTTAATATAACGATTGTTAAACTCAAAACAGAATAAATCGGACAAGGGTCATATTGTTCAACGTGATTAAATTTGTTTCAATATCATCTGCAACTTTTGTTTGTTTTAAAAAGAATTGATTTTTCCGTGAGAGAAGAAAAACTAACGTTGAAGCGTTAAAGACGAAAAAATTCAAACAATGCATTGCACGGCTCCCTTCGAATCGTGCAATATTTATTCGGATAAAAGAACTCTCGCTAAAATCAATATCTACGGCTTTATCGGAGTGGTGATTCCAGTTACATGCCTTACCCTGCGCATAAAAGCCCAGTCTAGATTAAAAGTGAAAAAAGAAAAAAATACCTGGGAAAGTTTATTATTTACAAATCGAGTGTGCCGCACGACAGTGGTGACGAGGACGCGTTAGACACTTTCCACCAAATTCCAATTCCAATTTTATGAGATAACTCGCGTCTGTTCGTTCCACCAACGCTCCGCAAACGACGGCCCGAATGTAAAATAGCATTAATAATAGCGGTGCGAGTCAGGTGTCATGCTGTGAACGCGGAGAAGGAGTATCGCGCGTAGTGAGAAAAAAAAACAGAAAGAATCGTTAGTCAGTTTGAAGATCGCGCTGTACAGAAGACCCGTCTGCCTATCCGGTTATTTGTTTGTTTAACGTGTTCTTTAATGTTGAAATCGCTGGTGTGTCACGTACCCGCATCTTCGAATGCTCTCCAACTGAGTGGCATTCAGCTTCTTCGGCTTTCCATATTTATCCTTGTGTAAGCTTTACAGAAATCGTTATTAACATATGAGACACGCAGAGAGGCGAGGCGAGGCGAGGCGAAGATCGCACTTCGTGTTTGTCTTGCAACGCTCTGCATCGACACGTGACACGTATTTGTTCATTTGAAAGCGCGAGCGTGACACGGAGACCCCGGCACGCTCTCTCTCTCTCTCTCTCTCTCTCTCTCTCTCTCTCTCTCTCTCTCTCTCTCTCTCTCTCTCTTGCGAACCCGTTCGCTCGGAAGGATACCGCTTTTCTCGTACACGCTTCGCGCGATCTCGGCTCGATCATCGAAATCAACGGCTAATCATTACGTAATATGCATGTACGTTTGTATATTGTACTAAGGTCTCTTTCTACGTCTATCTACTGCCGCTACGTGTATGTAACGTGTGATTACACTCAAACAGCACACTAGCTAACGACCGGACGGAACGGGTAAAATCGTGAGACACCTACGCGCGAGACACGTAACACCTACCCCCGTTCCCGGATACTCTCGAGCTGCTTGTTAGTCAGTCTCCTGGGCTCGCCCTTGCTGTCCACGGCGACAGCGTCCAATTCGTCGAAGCTGGGCGCCACGAAGAGGTCCTTCAAGTGGTACTTCTTACGTGCCAGCGTGTCCTCGCCCTCGGTGCACGAGGACAGCGGCGGCGGCAGGACGATAGGGAACGTTCGCCAATGATAGAGGAACTGCTGGGCGACTTCCTTGATGTTGTGCACCAACGCCTCGACCTCCGCTGGCGCGCCACGCAGGTGCGACGTGTCGAACTCCACCGGTTCTTTCTGCGAAAAAGGCCTCCGACGCTGTAGCTTTCCAAACATTGATGAGAGAACGACGAAGGTCCGCAAGGATTTCGCATACCTCAGGCTGCAGTCCATCTGCGTTCTCTCGGTGGTACGGCTGCTGGGGATAGGCTTGGTGATTCGGTCCCGTGTTGGCGGAGTTGGCGGAAGCTGAGTTTAGATTGTGGGGCATTTCGCGCGTGAAAAGCGTGCGCGGCGGCTGGGGTCAGCTGCCCCGTATACCGACTATCTCCTCATATACCATGCTGCTGGTGGCCACCATTGATCATTCCACGCTGTAAATCGAACGTACATGAATTCATGCCGGTTCAATGGCTGTCGGGCGCTGCGCGCCGCTGGCCTCATACCGTTTGTGTCTTACTGCTTAAGTTCCTCTACGTATCCAGGCTCTTAGAGTCCAGATATACAGAATAGCTTAAGCAATAAGAAAAGGCATGGACGTACAGAGAAACTGAAGGAGTAGAACATAAGTTAATAAGCCATATAAGCAAATTAACTAATCATAGTTGAATATTTTTGCTCCGTAAGAAGAATAATCAATTTTGACTAGTCAGTTTTCTTATTGCTTAAGTTTTTCTGTGTATCTGGGCTCTAAAGGCCTGGGCACACAGAAGAACTTAAGTAGTAAGACAGTAAGCAATATAAGCTATTTAATCAGTCATAGTTGAATATTTTTGGACCATAAGAAGAATAATCCATTTTGATTAGTCAATTTACTGCTTAAGTTTTCTGTGTATCTGGATTTTAAGGGTCTGGACACACAGAAGAACTTAAGCAGTAAGACATAAACAGTATGAGTTATTTAATCAATCACAGTTGAATATTTTTGATTCGTAAGAAGAATAATCAATTTTGATTAATCAGTTTTCTTATTGCTTAAGCTATTCTGCGTATCTGGACTTTAAGAGTCCGGACACACAGAAAAACTTAAGCAGTAAGATGTAAGCAGTATGAGCCATTTAATCAATCACAATTGAATATTTTTGGTCCGTAAGAAGAATAATCAATTTTGATTAGTCAGTTTTCTTACTGGTTATTATTTTTTTGTGTATCTGGACTTTAAGAGTCCGGACACACAGAAGAACTTAAGCAGTAAGACATAAACAGTATGAGCCATTTAAGCAATCATAGCTGAATAGTTTTGGCCCATAAAAAGAATATTTAATGTTGATTGGTCAGTTTCCTTATCGCTTAAGCTTTCCTGTGTATCTGAACTCTTAGGGCCCGGGCATACAAAAGAATTTAAGCAGCAAAACATAAGCAGTATGAGCCATTTAATCAATCATAATTGCATATTTCTGGGCCGTAAAAAGAATAATCAATTTTGATTAATCAGTTTCCTCCTTATTCCTTAAGTTTTTTTTAAGTTTGTCCAGACTTTAAGAGTCCGGACACACAGAGAAACTTAAGCAGTAAAATACATAAGATGTAAACAATATGAGTCATTAAATCAATCACAGTTGAATATTTTTGGACTGTAAGAAAAATAATCAGTTTTGATTAGTCAGTTTTCTTATTGCTTAAGCTATTCTGTATATCTGGACTCTAAGGGCCTGGATACATAGAGGAACTTAAGCAGTAAGACACAAACGGTATGAGTCATTTAGTTAATTACAGTGGAATATTTTTGGGACTTAAGAAGAATAATCAATTTCGATTAGTCAGTTTTCCTGCTAAGCTTTTCTATGTATCTTGACTCTAAGGGCTCCGGCATACAGAGGAACTTAAGCAGTAAGACATAAGTAATAAGCAAATTAACCAGAGTTGAAAATGTTGGACTCCTAAGAGGAGTAATCAATTTTGATTAGTTAATTTCCTTATTATTTACATCTTACTACTTACTACTTATTACTGTTCTTTTGCATGTCTGGGCTGTAAGAACCAGGTTTACCAGTCTAACTGGTATTTTAGTAATGACAAGAAGTTGTTACTGATCGTAAGACTACTGGAGGTACAAGCGAATATTTTGAGAGCAAATACAGTAAGTTACGCCATCAAGAGCGATCCTCATATGCGCAGTCCGTCTATACACTATCGGTGTTTTTGTTCCTTGCTTATCTCAGGACGGGAGCGTGACTTTTACGTCTAATGACGCGATATCGTTGTACGTTTATATATAATAACGCATTCGATTGCACTCGTTAGGAGCGGGACACGTTGGACGCTGGGGTTCTTTTTTATTTCGTGTATTTATGACTGCTAGGTGAGCCTCTGTGATGGTGATCGAAGCTGCGAGGGAAAGGGTTGCAAATATACAGGGTGCTAAATTTCAAACGTAACAGGTAAAAATCTCAAAAACTATGAAATATATTAAAAAATGCTAAAACATGTGTTCCATGATTTCAAAGGGGAAAGAGAATGGCATTATCAGTTTTTTATTTGGAGGGCATTTTCAAAGTCAGTTGAAGATCAACTTAATTTTTTGAAATAGAAAGCCCAATTTTTTATTATATCTTCTTTTTCTACCAATTAATTTTAACAACTTTTGTCTGAAACATTTTCTTATTTGCCTAATATTTTTTTAAATATTCAAGGAAAACTTGGTAACTTTTTCAACATTTAACTTACGATATCTCGCTAACTATTTGTCGAAAGAAAAAATAGTACAGACTTTTTTATTTTATTTACTATTAAGAATATATTAATATAATAGCGCTCTGACTTTTGTCAGGGCAATTTGATAATTTTGAAATTTCTAAAGGTTAATAAGTTAACAAAAGTTAGGGCACTATTGTAACATATAATATATTCTCGAGACTAAATAAAGTAAAAAAATCTAGTATCATTTTTTTTTCGATAAATAGTTAACGACATATCGTAAGTTAAATGTTGAAAAGGTTATCAAGTTTTCCATAAATATCTCAAGAAACATTAGGCAAATAAAAAAATGTTTCAGACAAAAGTTTTTCAAATTAATTGCTAGAAAAAGATAATATGATAAAAAAAATTGGGATTTCCATTTAAGAAAAATAATGATCAGTGAATATCTCGAAAATAGCGTCATCTGTAAACAAAATGATACAGCCGTTCTATATCCCCTTTGAAACTATGCAACTTTTGTCTGAAACGTTTCTTAGTATCTTCCATATTTTTCGAAATTTTTGCCTGGCTCATTAAAAATGGGACACCCTGTATAAATAAAAACACATACATATTATTTTATGGGGACGATAAAAATACTGGCACGAGAGCCTCGAGCGTGTCGTCATTCGGTGCATGAAGTGGCTTTGGCTGAATGCGCGAAACCTATTAACCGATTATATCCCATTAAACGTTTAAGATTCTGTACATTCCACTTCTTGTTGGTGCTACCACGTATGTTTCAAATTACACATCCGCCGCTCTTGCAGTTTATGTCGTCGCGCCGCTTTTTCCGCCCGTCCTTTTATTGCGGACGACAAGCGCGTCACGTTCTCGTAAACTCATGAGATACGCGAAAACACAAAGAAATAACAGCCCGTCGATGGAAAATGGCGGCACACGGGCGCACGCGAATGTTCGTGTCGAAAACCATCGTAGAAATGTCAACAAGTTTTCGGGCCGGTATTATGTAGCCTCTCTAACGGCGCAGCCACGGTAGAAGAAAAAATCAGGGCACAAAAAGCCCCGGAGTATGCGGTGAAATTTTAATAAATTGGCCGATGCATTTTGTGTTTTACTATTAAAAACAACCGGCGGAATCTAATATTTCGCGCGGTACATTTTCATGGAACGCTCGGTCCGAATTATTTGTACAGTACTCGAGCCGGCGTGATGAAAGCCGTGCAGTCGCGGATTATAATAGCGGCACACAAGGAGGAGGAGGGGGGAGCAGAGGATGGAAACAGGAGGCCGCGGGTCCCCAAAGAGGCGAGACAATAAAACCGATTCCCGGACTTGTTTCATCGCGCGCCGTCGCTCGCGTGATAACAGTGTAAGCTTATAATATAATTGACGGGCACCTAGTAATTATTAGCTCGTGTCACTTCGCTTCGGTGAACATGAGAAGCTCCGAAAATGCTTCTTTTTTCTTCCGTTCTGCTCGCTCGTCGTTCTTGCTCTCCCGACGAGTTTATCCTCGCGAGGAAGCAGAAGAAACGGGACGATGACGCGTGTCCGACGGCGAATTGATTTCGTCGTTAATAAATGGAAAAAAGGACCTGCTCTCTCTCTCTCTCTCTCTCTCTCTCTCTCTCTCTCTCTCTCTCTCTCTCTCTCTCTCTCTCTCTCTCTCTCTCTTTCTTTCTCTTTCTCGCGCGGAGGGCTAAAAAGAATAAGTGAGGAGAGTATATAATGCAGAGCGCTCGCGCGCGCGCGCTCTTGCGGCACCAAGTGGAACGATGATGGCGGGATGGCGAACGCAAAAGCGCGAAATGCGACGCGTGCGGACGTGCGCGGCGGAATACTTGCGATTCCGTTCGGGTGTGTTCCAAGTAGGTTGGCGAGCAGCCGCAAGCTGCCTTTTGACCTAGTTTGAGGCTCGCAAGCTCTCGTAACCTTAAATCGACCGGGCAGCTATTCCAGTCGATCCGATCGCTTTAATGCGGCACACGCTATGCGTGATTGCATGACTGATTTGCACGCGCAATCCGTGGAGAGGGGAGCGAGAGAGAAAGGAGGGAGAGATTTTTTAACATTGACAACATGGGACTCTACATATTTGTAACGACTGCAGTGTCGACATAGTAAGATGTTAATAAATATAATAACAATATACAGGATGCCCGGGAACTTTCGGAAACAAAAAATTGTGAAGATTAATCAGATGAAACTGAGAAGAAAAGTCACGCATCATTTTGCAATAATCGCAACAGTTATTACGTTATTAATGATTGAAAATCTAGAGGCTCTTTTAATTGATGACTTGAAAATTTGCCTGCTTATTTGCAAAGTGGTAAAGGACTTTTTTTGTTCAGAATGACCTAATCTACAATTATATGATGGCTATTGTGCCTAGCGACAAGCTCAAAATTCAGCGTTCAAAGTTCAATATACTCATATCATTCTGAACAAAAAAGTCCCTTACCATTTCGCAAACAAGTACACAAATTTTCAAGTTATCAATTAAAAGATGTGGTCATTTTCAATTATTAATAACTTAATAACTATTGCGACTTTTGCAAAATGGTACTTCATTTTTCTTCTCAATTTGATTTGATTAATCTCCACAATTTTTACCAGTTTGCAAACAAGTACGCAAATTTTCAAATTATCAATTAAAAGAACCTTTAGATGTGGTCATTTTCAATCACTAATAACTCAATAACTATTGCGATTTCCAAATTAGAATTTGACT